TGTCCTTGACCCAGGTCAGAATCTTGCTGAGCAGGCCCAATGGCTCTCTGCCTCTCCCCCTTTCTTATTTCATTAACAAGACTGAGCCTGTCTTAGGTCATTCTGACAAGAATGCCTTCCTTACCCATCATGGAATATGCATTATCAAAAGCAATGCACTTCTGTCTTAGGTTGGTAAGGCTCTGTGCAGACTCTTACCCATCCTTGGCTTGCCAGCCTGTTAACTTAATAACTCTGTCTGGGGGTCCATTTTCAGGTTCAAGCCATGTACTTTGGCTGCCAACATGTTGATGTTGTTAAAGGCAAGAGAATCAAAAAGAGAAGTTATAATGACTCTTGTATTGTTCTTGTGAATGTGACCAGTTATTCAGACTCAATTATGGACTGGTCCAGAAATCAATCCAGTATTGGAAATAACAGTATTCATTTGGAAGTCTTGTTCTGGACATTTTCAGAGCTATATATGGAAGTTAGCTACAGTTCTCTATGATGTTATGTTAGCAAGAGATAAAAGTTGGGGCAGGATCTCAATTTCAAACAGGTGTCAGCACATGTGTTAAGGCTCTTTTAATTGTCAAGTTAAAATTACTTTAGTTTTTTCTACAGTATTTAATGTACGTTGCATTGATTGTACACCTTTTAATTCTGTTTGTGTTCTGAAACCCGGCATGTCAGTTATGGAGGTCTATCAACCAGCTTTTGTTTTAGTGATCTGAGTATCACAGAACCTTGGTATCCTAAAAATATCCTGCAAGTACTGGAAGAAATGAGTCAGGCTTTAAGCAGAAGCAAGAGGGTAGTAGGATTCAAATTATCGGAAGGAGGTTCAGAATTTGAGGGTAAGGAGTCATCTCAAGTGTCATGCCAAATACCATTGGATTCATGTTCTAAAATTTACAGTGGTAGTCACTATAATTAGGAAAAAGTTTTAAAACCCTTTAAGTGTGTTTGGCATAATTCTAACACCTCTCTGGATGTTTTAACTTTACATAGTATGAATTTCAAAAATGTTGCTCTGCCGAGTGTTGATGCGGTAGATACTGCTGATAAAATTACTCAAGGCCTGAGGTCAATATTTCTATTTTGGTTAAGCTTCAAGAATGGCATAGATAGCTTGATCATGCTAGCCATTTTTGTCCTGGGAATACTTTTATTCCTGCCCACCATGTAAAATATACCTTTAAAAATGATATTTAAAAAAGTCTAAGACTAAATGTTCCCATAGACTCACCCTTTAAAAATGTTGTAAACCTGACTCCAAAGCAACTTACCCACCCATCAATACGAATACCAGCGAACCTTAGAAGAAAGCAAAGCTCACATGTTCAACAGTATTGTGAACATAATGTCTGACATGCAGTAAGAAAACCCCTAGACATGCTATCAAGTGACGGATTATAACTTAGGGCAGTGAGGCAAGTGGCTCAGCTAAAATGTAAGCAGAAATGACAGTGATCACACAGTTAGAGAGGAAATAAAACCTGCCCCAATAAGTGTACGAATATTCAAGCACATGTTTGTAGTGGAGAGCTAAATGGGCATAATAAAAATAAACATAGAAAAATAATTGGCAAGATCTAGGGCCAGGTCCCGATAAAACATCCAGTCAGCCAAAACAGCAGGACTCTGCTCAGCTTAAAGGGAATTTGAGGAAAACTCAAAGCTGATGTTATGCTTGGTGCTAACAGAAGGAAAAGTTCCCCACCTAAGAGACAGTGAGTGCATTCACACTGGCCCTGTCCACACAGCACAGAGCTGGAGATTCACACTGGCTGTGTCTACACAACACAGAGCTGGAGATTCATACTGTCTGTGTCTACACAACACAGAGCTGGAGGTTCTAGCTAGAAGTCCAGGAAGAGAGAAGTAAAGGATTGCATTTGTGAAGATACCAGTTTGTGCTTTGGTTCAAGTATGAAATGTGCTGAAGGCCTGGTCCCCAGGTGCTGATAAGAGGTGATTAGATCCCCCTGTGTGAATGAATTACGATTTGAGAAAAAATAAATTTAAAAAAATAAAAATAAAAAAAGAGGTGATTAGATCATGAACTGGCTGACTGGGTTAGTCAGAGTTAGGATCTAGTTGGAGGAAGGAGGCCATGTGAGGAGTGCCTTCAAAGGTTGCTTGTTACCATCTACTGTATGTCTACTTTCTGGCAACCATGAGGAAACCCCCTGTACCTCACACCCCCACCTCAGAATTCTGTCCCATATTGGGCCCAAGAGTAGAGCTGAAAGGCCTTGAATTACACCTCTGAGACTGAGAGCCAAAGCCTTTCCTCCATAGAACTGTTTCTCTTAGGTATATGTCCCAGCTGACAGTCTGACCTCTCTCCTATGAAGTCCCAAGGAAGCCAAGAAAAGCTCCTGACCAGCAAGCCCATCAGAGTTGCTGGGTGAACAATGTGTAAGATGCAATCATAGGGGATCAGGAGTTTAGAACCCTTGTCCATGGTCAGTTGCCAGCATCCACAGATGGTTCACAACAATCTGTGATCCTGATTCAGGGGGTCAGACACCATCTCTGACCTCTGCAGTCATGCACATACATTCAGGCCAGCATGCACATACACAATAGTAATCATTTAAAAATTTAAAAGAAAATTCAATATAGTACAAATACAAAATAAAATACAATAATATCAAAAAGCTAAAATACTTAGGTATGTATTCAATAGAAGTTCAAGATACATATAACAAGAAGTACAGACAACATCACTGAAGGGAATCCAAGAACTAAAGGAAACGTTTGTAAAGTCTGTAATTAACGATTGGAACACAATACTTTTGAGATGGCCACACTACCAGATGAAGGAGAAAGAATCAACAACACCTATTATCAAAATTAGCTAGATATCTGAAAAATAACCAGTGCACTGACACTGATGTCAATGAGGAAAGACTCAGACATCCCAGTTATAAACTCCATCGACGAAAAGTAATAAAGATTCTATGGTATTGGTAGAAGACGGTCATGTAGCTCAATTAGGTGTAATTAAAGTCAACAGTGTCACCCGCAGTCAGATGATTTGTGATGAGAATGCTCACATACTTCAGTGGGAAAAATCTTTCCTTACAGTGTTAAGACTGGGCAATCACATGCAAAACGGTGAGTTGAGCATCTGCTGATTCTGTACAAAGTCACTCATGATGAACCAAAGGCCTAAACATGGGAGCCAGAGACATGGAACGCCTAAAACAGAATATAGACCTAATTCCATGACCTTGAATAAAGAAAGGCATTATTAAGATGTATGTACAAAGTATAGGTAATTTAAACTTCTTCAAAGGATGCTATCTACATAGGGAAAAAGGAAGAAATCATTTGTAAATCATCTTATCATCTGATAAGATTGGGAGCCAGGATATGACAACTCTTACAAAGACTGAAAATTAGCCAGATTTCAAATGGACAAAATATTTAATCATATTTACCCAAAAAAGATATAGGAAATGCAGCTTAATACCATGAGCCATCAAGAAAGTGGAAATCAGAAGTGCAGTGGACTAGCCCAGTTGTGTAACACACCTGTGGTAGGGTGGCAAGGATGCAAAGACACTGAAAACTTCATGCTTTTCTATGGAAAGATCATGGGCATAACTGCTTCAGGAAACAGGTTATTCCTTAGCACATTCATCCTAAAAACACATGAATTCAAAATTCTACATTTAGATATTTTAGAGAATCAAACAGGAACCACATTAAGAACTTTTATAAATGTGTTCACAGAAACACCAAAGTAGGCCCAAAGTGCAAGCAACTCCAGAGTGTATCAGCTGCTGAATGCCAAAAAAGATATGTCTTTATAGTAGAATTTTGAGGGGTTCATTTAAAAAGAAAAGAATAAAACACAGATGCATGTTCAGCATAGACCTTAAAATCATTGCCCTGTGTAAAAGAACCCAGACACAAAATTACACACACTGTGATTCTTCTTCGGTTCAGTGCCCAGAATAGGCAGACAAATCCAAACAGCAAGTGCAACAGTGGATGCCCAGGAGGAGGAAGATCTGGGGAAACTAAGCAATGCTAACCGAAGTGGGGCTATGGAGAGCTCACAAATAGTGGGAGCAGATGAGGGTTGTATAACGTGCTACAATCTGCTGAAGTGTGTGCCTTAAAGGGTTAATTATACAGTAGTTATATGTCAATAAAAGATGTTTTATAAAAACAAAAGGAACACTGGGGATTCACAATATCTGATGAGGACAGTTCCCTAGAAGGTATTAAAGCCAGAGAGTGCTGAAACAGTGAAAACAAACCAGAGTTTAAAAACTCAGAGATCTATGGATTGTGTGATTAGAGTCTCAGAATCTGTGGTAGAAGATGAAATCTAAAGGAAACAGGCTTAAAGTTGATTGGTGTTGCCTGGGGAGCAGGCGGTAGGTGGAGGCTGTTAGGTAGAAGAAACTCAAGCGGCATGGCACAAGCTTGTAGCCATTGTCTGGACAGTCTGTGGATGTCCTACCGAGTGTCAGTTACAAAGTTCGGCTGTCTTAGCATCGTGACAAATTGTGAAGTTTTCTTTTATTTGTTGTTAATGGCATATTTCTGCATTTTGCTAGCCTATCAAACTGGTGATTACTGCATGCTGGTTAGTTTACTAAAGACAGCTCCTGAGGTCTTTTGGGACTTAAAATTGACCATATGCTGCCTAGATTCTTATTGAATGACAAAACATTAGTCATGGTGATTTATTCAAAGACACCAAAGCTAGAGGCTTTCTTCTATTTGTCTCTCTATGTTTTCAGATTTGTATTTTCTATTTCTGTGAATAATTAATGTTGTTAATGTTTGTGTGGGTGTGGCGCTGCATGTGTGAGCCGCTCTGGAAGTCTGCATAGTTCAACGGTATCGATTCTGAGTCACAGAAGGGCTATCTGTGTTTAGTTCTGTCTTCAGTGTCTCTTCAGAGATGGTTTTCAGTGTTCGGATTGTGTACCTCTGTGATTAAATTTATCCCTGGGTAACTTTGTGATGGTAACTGTATTTGTTTCTAGAGATGAAGTCAATGGAGTATAACAGTGGCCAGTTACGGGAACTTCAAAAGCAAAAAAGTGAACTGTTACAAGAATTATTTACTCTCCAGAAAAAGCTTAAAGGTACTAGCTTCATGAATCCATTTATCTTACTGACAAATACAGTATTGTGTGTATGACTGTGCTGCATTGATGTCTAAAATATGCTGTCACTGTGGACAGTGCTTCTGCTGTTGTGTAGAAGGAATGGGTCAAACATACAACTGAGTTGGTCAGTGTTAGAGCCGGGTTTGTCTATTTTGTTTGTTTTTCCCATTGTGGGGACAGAGTTTAGGCTGCACGAGCTACGTGAGTTACACTTGCCACCGAGCTGTGTCCTCAGTGCTTTACTAGTTTGCATTTCAGGAAGAGTCTTAAGTTGCCCATGTAGTCCTTGAACTTGCAACCCTCCTGCCTTAGCTTCTTAGATAGCTGGGGTTACAGGCCTGCACCACAGGCCTGGCTAGAGCTGGTACTCATTATGTCCAGGTTCCATGAAGATGTTTTGTGCCTTTAATTGCTATGTTAAATTAGAACATAAAAATCACTGTTATGTATATTTGATATACAGCACAAAAGGTAAGAGTTTTTCATGAGTCACTAAAGATAACCTCTGTGTTTAATCTTTTAATGATTGTAGAAATTTTCTTAATTGTTTAGTTCTTAAAGATGAAGAGACTGAAGCCATTTGTATCACCAAACACCTAGAGGCAGAAAAAATCACAATAAGAGAAAAGCCTCACTGTGATCCTGAGTGTGTGCGGTAAGCGGCTTTTAGTGCTTATTCATAAAGTTAAGTGTTTTGAGTTAAATAGATATCAGTATAAAGCTGAGAGTGTGCTTTTAAAGCCCTAGATAAAGTCATCATTTCCATTTATGTGTACCCTGACACTTGCTGATAGGCAGACATCCCCTGGCCAAAGCATGCTACCCGTCAGCTCACAGCACAGAGCTGACAGAGAGGATTCAATCCTGCGCTCTGTCTCATGGACTCTTACACATGTCTCCAGAGATAATGCAGCTCCTTCCTGTCGCTGCAACATAGTTAATATGTCTACAGTCTTACTTTACGTATACTTTACATTTGTTCTGGATTGGTTCCTAAGAAGTAGAAGTGTTTTCTTTGTGGAGTATGTCTGTGCTTTACTTTTTCTGTGTAACTCAATAATGACTGAAGTCTGACTGACTGATGTCTGACATTACACCACCATCAATGCAAGGGGTCGGGGAGAACCTGAAGTCTTCTATTTGATGATGATTTATTATTATTCATTGTCACCTTTGCCAGCGTTGTTTAAAAGAAGCTGCCATACTTTACAGGAGTCATAGAAAAGACAGCCTCATTACTGAATATACAGAGAAGTCAATGGAGCTTGCTTGCATATAAATCTCACAGGACGTATGTCCACCAAAGCTGAAAAAACTCTCCATGTTAACTGTGTATGCCCCTGGCCACCATTGTAAGAGAGTATGAGAAAATATTTGCAATTTAATTTTTTATTAAGTTTTATAAGCACAAAATATCAGTCTCTTGGAGCAATGTGTGTGATGAGGGATGGGTTTCTGTAATGACAGTCTGCTCTTAGTTCCTGACACTTGTTAAATGCAGAGTTCACTGGTGTCATGGTCTTGGCTATGGACAGGCTTCCAGTGTGAGCTCACGCTTTGTCCCTGGGTCACAGACATCTCCCCTGAGTTCATATGAAACACCCAACTCTGAGAGAGAACGCTTTTTCCTTCACAGACAGAAGCAGAAAGTTTGGAAAAGAAGCATCAGTGTGGGCCTCATCCGTTTCTAATTTGAGTACTCACTAATGTGACACCAATGCTTATCAATTTACATTTTAAATCTTTTGGGATGTGTATTTTTCTCTTATTAGTGAATTTCATTTAAAAAGCCTTAAGTATAAAGAAAATAAAACCATTGAACATTAAGATTTTTGGAAAAAAGATCAACCTTGCATTGGTAGGCTATCAAGAAGATATTACATTAGACAAAAACAAAAAAATTACATTAGATTTATTGAACCACATCAAAAAGGCCAAAGGTAAGCTGGTTATAGTTTTAATTAGGATTTAATGCCTTATATGTATGTTTAAAGGCATATTGAATTCTATACTAACTGCATTTTTCTTAAATTCTCAGATTTGATCTCTTTTCAGGGTAGATACAATGTTTACAGCAGTGTTTCCAAGACTTGGTGCTATTTACAATTTAGGCCAGGTTATTTTTGTTTTATGTTCTGTTCCATGCATTGTAAGGTATTTAGTAGCTGCTATGTGCCCAGACCACTCCTCAGCTCTGGTGACACAAACAAGGCCTTCTTTGTATGTCAGTGTTGGGTGTTTAAGGAAAGTATTCCTTGCTACAATTCTGCTTTTACTAAAACATGCTATTCTGTGTGTCCATCCCTTCAGTAGTCCCCTTTCTTACCCAGGTTACTTTCTTTGGTTCCAGGTGCCTTTGGCAACTGTGGTCAGGAATTTTTTTACAAGTATCTTTGCATTTATACAATCAATCTCTCCCCATAAATGAGGGAACATTCCAAGACCCCAATGCTCTCTGCATAGAGCCATCATCCCAAACCAACTATGTACTGGTTTTTATTGTTGTTGTTTTAAAGTTGTTATTTATATGTGTACACTGCAGCTGTCTTCAGACACATCAGAAGAGGCCATCGGATCCCATTGCAGATGATTGCGAGCCACCATGTGGTTGCTGGGAATTGAACTCAGGACCTCTGGAAGAGCAAAGATTGCTCTTAACTACCATCTCTCCAGCCCCATACTGTTGTTTTATAAACATATTCCTATAAATGTTCAATCTATACAACAACTAATAATAGATAGACCAGTTGTTATAATGTTCCACAATAAGATTTATTTCTGGAATTTTCTATTGGAAAAAATTAGACTCTAAATATCAAAAACTAGTCAAAGAGGAGTGTGTGTGTGTGTGTGTGTGTGTGTGTGTGTGTGTGTGTAAGAACTTGTAAGTATTACGGTTTATATTTTTTAGAGTTAGTCTGTTTTTTCAGGTGATTCGATGTCATCTTTAATGCAGAGTACCAACTTTGTATTTTACAATAACGGGACCTTCTGTAGGTCCTGTTTCTCTAGTTAGAAAGATCACAATGGTTACTTATTTCACAGATTCTGTTTTTAATACAGTGGGATGAGTTAACACAGCTTAATGTGCAGAACTGGAGACAGGAGCTGAGAGAGTCGTGAGTGACAGCACAGAGTGAGGCTAGGTCCTGTGTAAGGGCGTGGTGGTGACATGGGTGGGGTAGGTCAAGGACACGGGAACTGGCAGAGCTTTCCTCAGGCTCAGCGGCAGTGTGTGCAAGAACTAACACCTGCAACTTCCTCCTTCCTCCTTGGTAGCCACGAACTGAGGCTGCAACCCTGGAGACTTCTCTCTGAGACCAGCTGGCCCCACCCCAGTGCTGTGCCTAATAGAAGCCGGGGGTACTGAGCTGTTTAAACAGTTGGTGCTATCTCAGCAGAGGAAGCACAGCCCACCCAATACCAGCTTCTCTGTAGATGTGTCTGTCTGTCTATCTGTCCTATCTTCATTCCCTCATTGTCCCAGTCATGTCTGTAGGACTAAGCTATGCAGGACAAGGTGGTTGGAGAATCTTAGTGGGTTTATTATATAATCCAGGATGGGGCTAATTCATCAGAAGCTCCTTGAAAGTTTATGTGACTGATTGACTAACTTCATTCATATAATCTAGAGGACAGAGGGCATAAAAATGTGAGTATGGACAGACAGGAAGCCTAGAGGCTCATTTCTACTTGCTAGGTCGGTGGCCTTGGGCAAGCAATCACTTATGCCACAGTCTCCATGTTTATAGCGTAAGGTTGACAGTAGAACAGTCTGCCTCACAAGATGATGTAAATAGAGGATCTCAGTGTGTATGAGCTCCTTAGAACAGAGATCAGCACATAGCGTGCCCTGTCACCATGAGGTAACTCGAGTCTGGCTTCTCCACACTCCTACTGTGTCTCCTCACTCATTTGCTTTCTCACGGGTCTCCCTGAGGTTCCACATGGATTCCTGTTTGCTTCGCATTTTACCTGGACTGTTTTGGTTTCATAGTTACAATCATCATCTAAACATAATTTCCAAACCTCTGTCCCAAGTCTGTCTTTCTTAATCTTAAATCCACCAAAATTGAATACAAGTACAGAAATGAACCTGATATAACATTTCCCTCATTGAACAAGTAGATGAATGAAATAAAAATACCCTTATCAAAAGTTAAAGCCGTGACAGTCTATAGCAGCCATTGTTGGTCTGCAGGTCCCGGCCCTGTGCCTGTCTCCCACTCTCTGCCCAGCAGCTCACAGCCCAGCCCACTTCCATGCTTTGCTACTTTCCCCATGGATATTTCTTAATTTCCCCTCTGTGTTTCCATTGCCTCTACCCATGTCCACTCTTTCTCTCACTGATCTCAGTCACAATCCCTTTCTGCCTGTCTTGCCTGTGCCCTGGTAGCCTGCAGTCTATCATTGCTTTTTATTAAAGCCACCCACTGGCTTCCTAATGAACATAATAAACCTAAAGTCCTTCTTTGTTCTAAGTGACCTCAACATAGCCACTTCTTGTTCTGCCACCTCAAACCTGCCAAGCTTTCATCCACCAGAAGACTTGGTAATTACTCTTTTCCTCGCCCCCCCCACCCCCAAATTATCAGTTTCCTACTGAACCTGCCTGCTTCCCTACCCCATGGTGAGCAGTAACCCTTCCCAGGTATCTGTTGAGATATTTCCAAACAATCCCCCTCCCTGTTTCTAAATCACATCACCTGTTACTTGTGGCCCCAGTATCCTGTGTGCTTCTCTTACAGTGCATCCTGTCTTACAGTTAGATGGCTGCATACATATTTACTCTGCCATTGTCTGTCTTTACTGTGTGCCAGGCAGGAAGGCTCTTGTCCTCTCCAGGCTTCCCTGTGACCTACAATCCAACACTGTGGTAGTAGATAGAGGGGAAGAAGGAATGGATGGACTATGAGGGGTTTCCTCTGCTCTTTGGTTCTCTGAGCTTGGACTTTGTTAAATCCTGTGCTACAGAGACATGTCTGTCTGTCTCACTAGTCTGGAATGCCTTGTGTGTCTTTGTAGCATAGTCCAGGTATGTGGACCTGATACACACTTGTCCCAGTGACAGAGCCTAATAGTCATTGAAGTTTCACTGCAAAATACACAGTTTTTAATTGTCTGTCTTCCTTCTTTCTTTCTCTCTCCCCTCTTTCCTTCCTTCCTCCCTCCCTCCCTGCTTCCTTCTTTCCTTCCTTCCTTTTTCCCCCGCCATATTTTATTTTGTCATTTATTTTTGTTACTATATTTTTGTGACAGAGTCTCATTATATAGTCAAGTTGACTACAAAACTCAATTCTCCTGCCTCTTTCTGCCTCCACCTCCCAGCTGCTGGGATTACACATGTGTACTACCTGGGAGTACACATGTGTACCACTGTGGTAGTGTTTTGTTCCTTCTTCACTCTAAATAGTACAAAGAACAAAATAGATCATTTTAAGTGTTGCAGGCCTTTTTCTTTCACCAGTAAAACTTCTTTCCTGGGTGATTTGCATGTTGTATAACTAGTATTTGTATGATTAGCACAAGAGGCTTGTGTTAGAAAGAAATCTGCAAAGTCAATATGAGATTCCCCCCCCTCTGAACACTTAAAAGATAATGTGGGTTTATGAAGAGCTTTTGCAATGGAAATGCACAAAAATTAATCTGCATCTGCTAATGAGAGGTTT